AGAGACATTGAGCTGCTGAGAAGAAGAAGAGCGTCCACGTCCTTGAACGCCAAGAATGGATTCGATGAGTGAGTTCTCAGATTCAGTGAACGATATTTGTTCCACTTTAGAAGATCGAAGCACCAAGCGATCTTTCAAGGGCTTCGGAGAAGGAACGAATGACAATGAATGGAACCCTAGATTTACAACTTTCAGAGCCATTCTAGCAGAGGCTTCTCCTTTTCTGTTATGTGGCAGTGGCGCCAAGATCAAAATGAAAACGTGGCAAACTACCAAACAAGATATAGATAGAATATTGCTTTTCTGCACCACTCTCCGCGCTAACTTTCTTAGAAGGCCATTCATTCATTTCACATTATCTGTACGAATATCCTACTGTTACAAAATTCAATGGGATTAACTTATTTCATTCTTAGACGCTTATATGTGATAATCGCGTGTTTGTTCACGGCAACATATATGAAATTAAGAATCGTTCAAATGATTTATTTTTTAGAAGTCATTATTTTTTTTATCGATCAATACTTATAATTAAAAAATTTCTCTTATTTAGTGTCTACTTTTTTATTTTTTAATTTTTATTAATAAAAAAGTTATTTTATTTAGTGTACACTTTTATCTAACTATACATAATTTTCAATAACCATATAAAATATCAAGAAAATTTTATTATTCTCTTTTTTAATGGAAACATATAGTTCCTTTTTTTTCTTTTAGCGATATGTAACTACTATAAATGTAATACTTCATTTTCATATCCGCATTTATTTTAATGTTTTTATCCCTAGAATATTTGTTAGTTAGAAGATAAAATTTGAAATCAAAATAATTGTCAAACAATAATTGTTTTAAAACATTAACTAAAATCAAATATATTATCACTAAGTGAATTTAATAAATTAATATCACTCATACTTAACAATATTAGAAACATATTAAGAATAAAGACTAAAAATGATTAAAAAATAATAAATATAAATATTAAAAATATTTATTTTAAATTATAAAGACTAAATGATAAAATAAATAAAATTTTAAAGACTAAAAAACTATTTTAACCTTTTTCTACTCTTTACTCATTTTATTTTATAAACATCGATCACAAATTGCTTTATTTTTTTAATATATAAGATTACAATGACATTATAAAACTTGATATACTACTTCAATTTCCACCACTATTTTTAAGTGATTATATTTCGTTTATTTTATGATAAACTAATAGGTCCCTTTTATTCCAAAGAAAATGAATAAAAATAACTTTACAATAAAACTAATACTTTTATCGACACCCGAATATGTTATTCATAAATATAGTAAATCATTCTTTTTATTTAAACCACCACCATAATATGATTAAAAAAAACTATTAATCATTATAAAAAAAAGGAAATAAAAAAACACCATAAATCGGGCCAACACTTCAAAGTTTAAACACAATCTCGGGAGACAGAATCCATCGCAACGTGATCAACAGCATGGAAATCAGGTCCACCATTCAATTTAAGTGATATTTATTATGAAAATGATGATACATGACACACCTAATTAATTGAAATTCTTCATTTCTCTCTATCTCTTCTTTCTTCTCCCAACATATCACTCGTCATATTTACCCCTTTCTCTCTTCTACCTCTTTCTGTCATTCTCTAGGTGGTAAGTATTATTTTTCTTATTACAAAATATGCCAAAACAGTAGTAGGTCAGAACGGCCTGAAATCACGAAATCAGCTCCTTCGCCATACAAGCAAACCCCTGGACACGTGACATGATAACACCAAATCACATTTAACTCGGTGAGAATGAAAATTAAGAATGCCCAAAGGCCTCAGTCAAACAATTCTTTTAGTTTCGTTGAGACACCAAATGCAATTGTGCAGAGCCTGCAGGCCAGAATAATATCTGCAGACAAGATAAGGCAGTTGAAGTAGCAGCAGCTATTATGTATTCCACGTCCAATTCGCAACTCTGCTCGATCTTTCCGAGATGTGCACTACAAACTCTTACCACCATGTATCTACAAGATTTACGAAACTGTTGGTCATATAGGCATATGTTACACCTTTGACTTGTAAAGTCTAGCAGCACATAGTAGCTGTGAAACACGAGAAACATTGGTTAAAAATTAAAATATATATGCGCCAGAATAGAGAGAGAAAAAAACACAAAAAGTGAAGAAGTGAAACAGAAATGAGAAAAATGATCACTAGTAACGGGAGCACATAAATTAAAATTCAAAGAACAGATGGCTTTCAAATGCACATCTGTGCATTGTATTTAATTAAGCATTTGAACTTCAATGAGAATAGGCGAAACAGAATTATCAGTGAAATTACCAGCAAAAACACTTTCAATTATCTATTAGAGAAATTGCATCCCTGCATCCTTTTTCTCTTTGCGAAGCCTTACAATAATACCAATCCCCTGCATCATCCGTCTAATTCCTCGGTAATATCCAACCAGAATGAATTGGCACAAAATTGTGAAACCGGATATCCCTTCGTAGTAAATCTGGCAGAAATACTGCTTTCTATCAAACTTGGAATCCAAAGCCACCAAACAACTTAGAACATCATCAAATTTCATTCACATCAGGCTCAATACGAGAATTGTCATATTGCTACATAGTTATGCTAAAGCAATCATTCACTAACGTGCATAACCGGAATTTATTACAAAACTCAAGGTAAAGGTGACTTTGAAAGTATGAATAGCTCAAGAACCTAGCATTATTAAGTAATCGATAATCGCATAACAATATGTTAGGACAAAAAGCTATAATTGGTCCATTATGAAAAACTCTACTCCTTAAAAAGGATTGATTCTATTCAGAATTGTATGATGAAGTTCATGGTAAATTCATCAAGATAAAGGAGGATATATAACCCTCCCAAGCAAAAGAAGGAGACATAGACAACCAATAAAATATACAAAATCGATTGCATGAAATTAACTAAAAGTAGCATCAGTACATAGTAATCATTAGTTCTCCTCGCAAATTCACAGGTTATTTACATGCTAATCAGAACACTTCGGCATAGAATTTAATCCCTTGTACATAAGTGAACCTGCAAACTTAAGGATCTCTCTTACTACTTTTTGAAATACCTACCCAACCAAACCCTATCCCAGAATGAAAAAGGAAGGAAACTCGGGTTCTTGCCCTTATGATCCTCATTAATGCCCATGAGATATGACAACGAAGAACAAAACCACTAGTCCTCCCCAATATTTCATTTTACAAACCCATACAAATTATGAAAAAATAGCGACAAAATAAAAGGTAAACTACAGACCTACGATCTACAAATACCAACATTTATGCATTAAAAAAGTTGTAGAATTCATTCCACTCTAGCCTTCCCTTCAAAAGCCTATGCAGACAAGCAACTTAAGCTAACATGGGACAGACAAGTCAGTCCCTGAGCTTGTACCATCTACTTGATTCTTGCTTTCATCCTTCTCATTTAAGACTAAGTCGTTTGTATTTTCATCTGTTGCTACTTGACTTTTTGATTCATCATTTCTGTCCAGCATTTCAAAATCACCACTCTCTTTGTTATCCATAACATCATTTTCTTTTTCAAAACTTTTATCTGCCAAACACTGTTGTGTCACTACATCATCCTTCTGCTCATCCTTCTCCTTCACTTCATTAAACACAAAGTCACCCCCGATTCCACTACCTCTGACCTCATCCTTCTTTACAACAGCTTCTTTCGGAACAGACGCTTCCATAAAAACATCATCACTGCCTTCAGCCTCCGATATTCTACCATTGTCCAACTTTGCACCGGTCTCAACATTTTCATTTCTCCCACTTTCCAACACCGAGTCAATCATCTCCACATTGTTCTCAATTCTCATAAGAGGAACATCCAATCCGCCCTCGCTTTCATTATCAGACCCATTCTCCACCACTTCCTCGTTGACATCTTCCACAGCCTGGCTCTGCCTCTCGAGAAACAGCATCCGCCTTCGCAGATCGCCCAATTCCCTCTCCATCAGGAAAAGGCGCTCTTTCAACGTCAAATTCTCCTCCTCCAACTGAGCTATATGTGAATCCTGATCATCGACCCTGTTCTCTAAGACATTATTATAATCAACTCCATAATTAGGGTATATCATCTCAAACCGACTCAAATCATGATCCAGCCTCCTCTCCACCTCTACATGCTCCTCCACATCACTCTCGCTGGACCCACCATCCTCTTCATCATCCTCTTCATGAACATCAATCTCGTGCCCCGGTGATCGAAGCCTGATCAAACCCTTCATCGACCCATATCCATCAACACCCCACTCCTCCTTCGCCATATCCCCTAACATCTCCCTCGATGGAGACAATATGGGCGTAGGAAGCACTGCGGGAGTCACGGGGCAAGGCGACACAAGCGATGCTATGCCACCAGACTTCTTGGCACGAATAATAAACGACGTCGTATTCCTAGGGGCATAGGGAGCAAACCTATTATTAAACTTCTTCTTAGGAAAGAACTTACGCGCTTTTAAGCGATTTTGCGATTGCAACTCGTGCAGCGTTGGGGGCTGGTAACCGACACTGCTGTTTGGAATTGGAATAGGGAGAGGCACACTGGGATTGGGTTTATCCATTCTCCTAGGGTCCTTGCGTTTGTCAGTGACCTTCTTCCCCTTCCAGTTACTCCTGTAATTCGGTTTCATAGGGTTCTGAAACTTCATGTTAGGGTCCAGAGGAGGTTGCTGAGACCAGACCTTGTATCCCCGATTCATCATCGGAGGCTGAGACTGGTTCATCATAATCTGAGATGTCTTCATCTGAGGCTGCGATTGCTGACTCATTCCCTGGTTATGTGAGAGCATCTGAGGCTGCGACTGACCTATAATCTGAGACTGCTTAATTACCTGAGGCTGGTTCATCATCTGCTGCACCTGATTCATCATCTGAGGCTGGCTCATCTGGTTCAAATTCATCATCATCTGCGATTGGTCGTTCATCGTAACGAGTGTACGAAACCCTAGTCCTAACGGTTCGGGCTAATCCTTGCAATTTCAAACGGAACGGTTAAGATCGAAACACTACCTCCGATCGCGAAAACCGGAAGCGGAAAAAAAAAAGACCGAAACCCTAAATTCCTTATTTCGCAAATTCGGAACCGGGGAGATTAGGGTTTGATCTTAAGGAATCGACCTAAGTCTGAAATCGTATTCCTCTTTACGAGATTTTCACGAATCTGTGAAACCCCTAATTAAGACTTCTTGATTTTCTTTTTCTCGAGAATTCTGGTTATTATCGGTGAAGATTTTGCTTCTGTGCGGTGCTCGTTCCAACCAAAGGAGCTTATATAGTGGGTCAGGAATAAATTGGACCGCCGGATGTTGATTCGATTAGTGGACGGTTTGGATTGCATATTCGTGATGGACACGTGTCACTCATCTCCGGAAAGGTCGATTCTTGATGATTTCCCGTTTCAGGTACACGACTACTAAGGGGAATTTGAACCTAATTTTTTTTTAACTGTATAATGTATTTTTTTTATACTAAGAATGAAAAAGACATTTGTGAGAAGAATAAATGTTTTTTAAATATGTTACTAGTTACTACTGTTTGAAAAGTAGTTATTATTTAGTATATGTATTTTTTTATTTTATTCTTAGATATATTGATAAAAAAAAATTATAATACAAAGATGGAGATATAATCATCTTTGAAAAAGTAAATATTAAAATATATATTTTTTTTGTATTATAATAATAAGATTGATGTATTTTATATCTTTAATAATTACACATATAGGATATTAATAGTTGTAAGAGGTTATTAAAAGATGATAAAAAATTATCTTTTTTTAATATATGGAGAGAGTAATAGTCTACTAAAAAATGAAAGAAAAAAAATTACATATCATGGTATCACTTTTATATATATATTTTTTAATTATATTCTTAAATATTATTGATAAAAATATATATAATATAAAGATAGAGATATAATTGTCTTTGAAAAAGTAGACACTAAAAAATATATTTTCTTTATATTTTATATTAGGAGCAAAACACTTTGTACTTCTAATAGTTATACAAATAAGATATTAGATAGTTGTAAATGATTATTGAAAGGGGATAAGAAGTTATCTTTTTTTAATATTTTAGGAGTATAATGATCCACTAAAAAGTGAAAACAAAAAATAATTGCATATGATGGTGCCCCTTTTATAATAGGTATATATATAT